GCACTTTACTTCTGGCTCCCCCTTCAGTTTCCTTTTCTTAGGCATTTTCTTTGAGCATAAAAGAGACATATTTAATTAATCTTTTCTATTAAAACATAGTAATTGCTAGAAAGCTCAAATTCCAAACACTGCTGTGTAAAGGCCCAACAAATAAAGATTATACCCCTGTACACACACCTATCAAAACTGAAGGATTCAGGATTGTGAGGGTTAATGCATCTGTGGAAAACCCATCACTGGGGAGGGGGGGATATAAATCATCTCAGCAGACGTTCCAAGACTGCCTGATGTAAATCTGTCTAGGTGATTGGTTGTTGAGATGGGACCTGCCCTGCACCCCTCTTCATGTTCATCTTCCCACACGAAAGGCAAGGTTTTCCCTCGATTTGCTCACTCTCGGGGTTGGGCTTCAGGAGCAGCTCATACAGGGGTTTTGCAATACTGGAAAAGTTCTGGATATAGTGACGGTAGTAGCCAAGTAGACCCAATATATTCCTCAGTTCGCCACGGGTACCCGGTTGTTTATTTCGAAGAGACTGTACTGCTGCTACTTCCGCTGGGTCCATCTTGTACCCCTCGCTCGAGACAATTCTACCCAGGTATCTGACCTCCTTTCGGAATAGGTGACACTTGCTTGGTGTAAGCTTGGTTTAAGCAAGCCTTCTCCAAAGGTTTGTATATGCCTTAGGACCCGAGGGAGAGACTCGAGGTGGCTCTCGACTGTATTGCTGTATACCAAGATGTCATCCAGGTATACAACAGCTACCTCACCATCTAGTTTTTTAAGGCATGATTACATGCACCTCTGAAAAACGGTGGGGGCATTGGTGAGGCAAAATGGGATGCGTAACCACTCATGGAAGCCCCAGGGGGTGATGAATGCTGTTGCTGCCCGGCTGTCTTCGACCACGAATCCTTGGTGATAGGCTTTGCCCTGGTTAAATGTTGAGAACCATGTGTTACCCTCCAGACTGTTCAAAGCATCTTGCATCTGTGGTATGGGTTGCCTGTCTGGAATGGTCTTGCGGTTGAGTTCCCAGCAGATGATGCACAAGTGAAGGGAACCNATCTTTCTTTCTTGCACACACCACTGGTGAAGAGTAGGGTGATTCTGACTTTCTTATCCATCCTTGCTGGAGCAAGTCCTGCAGGTAGGGTCTTACTTCTTGGTAAAGGGGAGGAGGAATGATGTGTATGTCTTCTGTACTGGATGATTATCTTGCAGGCATAATATGCATCTGGAGATCTGGGACGCATCCCAGGTCATCGTCATCCTGGCAAATGCTCTCACTTCCCTCTTAAGCAGCTGTGTCGCCAGTTGATGCTGCTGGTCAGACAAGTGACTGAGGTCTACCGGTGGTATCCAATCATCGCCAGTCTCAGTTGGTGTGACAGAGTTTATTTGTGCTGCTGGTGGTTGTTGTGCCTCTGTAGACTGGTATGTGGTAGAGTGGATTTCCTCAGCTGCTCGTATAGTACCGAGCGGGGTATGCCTTGGAAGAACAACATCGTAATTTGCCGTATTGGCAGTCAAGATGGGGCCTTTGTGCCATGGCCCCTCACTCAGTTTGGAAACAGTGGGTTGGAGAACCTATAGCCAAGGATTTGTCCAGTTCTACTGCCCAAAACTGGAATACAACATTTTGCAGCCAATTAACTGCCCATTATTTTCATAAACTCAACCGAGTAAGCTAATGTTACCTACACTTAGCACTGTTTCTGAATGTTTCTTATAAACAGAATTTGGTCATGGTACCAAGTTTCCCTCCTTCTTTGATGAAATCCAGAGCATTTTTGCAAATTTGCTCATCACAAACCTGCTTTTCCTTTACCAGTTTGTATTCTTTTACAAACAAACCATTTTACACCTCCAAACCCTATCAGCCCACTGACTACTCTATCTTGACTTATTCCATAAGACTTGTTGTGTTTAACTTAAATGGCTTCCCCTACCTTATCTCACTTTGCGTTTGAAGAAATGCCAAATCACTAGTTTTACAGCCTGAACCATTCCCAGGCACTCCAATGACCCCTCCCCACTCATTCAAACATTCACCAGAGATGTTGGTGATACATTGCAGTATCCATGTACTTACATGTTTTCCTGCACTTTTGAAAATGTGCTTGTTAATTTCCCAGCAAGTATGCAAACAAAGGCCAAAATATCGAAAGCAGAAACTGTTATATATCACAAGATGATCATGAAAATACATGGACTAGAGGTGTTTACAGGAATGGATGCAGTCAACTCTTTGACTAATGCATTTACGGATTACATAAAATATTAATTTTCAAGGAAGTCACTGGACAAAACAATAAACTGCTTTCCGGACTGCACTCCATGGAGCCCTGCAGTATCCGTGCCCACAGCATGGTCTTGGGCAGGACCGCAACATTTCTGCTTTTAAATGTGCTTAGAAATTAAATACAGTTCATTTAGCGAATACAGTTGACCAGTGAGTCAGTTCTGTATAATGCATTTTAGTCAGGTCATGGTAAAGGAATGCATATGTAACATATTTTGTTTTATTTGAAATAACTAATGACTTGCCTATAAATGGCTTGCTTTGATTTCATTCAAATCTAGCTTTTAGCCACTCCTCAAAAATTAAATATCCGCCAGGTCAAAGGGATGATTACTGACGTTGCTTGGCACTCACCATTGGGGTTTAATCAAGGGCAGATGAGAGGGAAGGGGAGGGCCAATGGGGAGCATGGCATTCTTGAAGGGGGGGCAAATTTTCTTAGGTTTCCAAAAATGAGATTAACCAAGTCTTTTGAATCTTGTTTCTTTTTCTCCCACATGCCTAAGTACAAAGCCTCAAAATCTATACCCTCTTAAGGGGCCATAAAAGTAATTAGCACACAGGAATTCCTGAGTTTGTGGCCAGCCCCAGAAGCATTCTGGCCCCTCCATAGAAAACTTTTGTTCCTGAACTGTCCTCAGGATTGTCATGTAATTTAGCTTAACCATGTCAATTTCTTGATCAGTTCATATGATTTTTTGTTCATGATAAAAGGAGAAGCCAAGACCTGTAGCCCATAATTTGTACATGTACCTTGTTCTACTGTTGTGTACAGTGGGCTTTATGCAATACTGACATGTTAACAAAGCTACATGTACTGTGTCTTAGTTCTGAATACTGCAGATGTTCATGGAGAGTGTATATGTAGATTTTGGAGAAAGCAATGACACGTCCCAAATGTTGGCTGTGGCATCTTGCATACAAAGACATCCTCATTGGTGACACAGAGAAGACAGCCAAATAGCAATATTGGGTTTGTGGCAGTGGATCCTTGGCTCCATACTAGAGTAATATTAGGGCTATGGCTTGGTACTGTGGCTGAGGACCTCTGCCTGCATAATTGTGTCCCCAAAACTGAAGCTCTGCTAATGATGTCACAGAACCATCCACTGTCTTTTCAGTGTACTCACTATTCACGTACAGCAGCAAAGACAAGCCAAATGTTGTCATACTAGAAAAAGTTCAATCTCCAAGCTCAATTGCTTGCTGTACCTGAAAATGGTTTTCTGCAGTGATTACAATGATTCATTGTTTTCTCCAAGATAATACAATCATAAGTACAGCACATTTGTACGTTCACACATGTAGTGTTTGTAAATGTATGAGATGGAAGTACTTGTTAGGTATGTTTTTTATGTTTATGAAGAAAACTGATGTGTATGATTGACACTTCAATTGATCTCATTTCAGACAGGACTTCATTGTTGATGTAAGTAATATAGGAATGCATCTGAACCTTGGAATGGCCTAACATCAGGGTGTCAGTGGGGTTCCAAAGCCTGGCTGACGGTGAAGATGTTTCCCATATTTTTATTGCTCAAATACAAAACTGTGGCACACTGTTGATAGGGATATGTAGAGGACAAGATGAATGGCCTTCATCAGTGATCCCAGTGAACAACCCCTGTTGTAGCAACCAACTTGGTTAAATTTCCCGGATATGCAGCCTCATCTTTGCACAGCCGATACCATTCTGCAGACAATTCACTTATTGTGTTGCCTACATGTATCACAATATGGCTGTACAAATGGCACTTGGAATGTCTTGCTGATGGATGTTTTTTGGTGCATATGTGAGTGGAATAAGTTCATGAGTACCGAGATCATACAAGACCTCAACTGGATATCCTGGTATATCTCCAGGTGGTTGAAGCATGGATCAAGCAGCACATTCATGGACATTCTTGCCGTCATAAGGATAAGATGACCAGTTTATAGTGATATGTATTCCAAGTAATCCAGTAAGTGGAAGTCCACATGTATTTGGGAAACTGGAAAACATGCCGTTGCTTTTGCCTCAGAGTGACCAGAAAATATACAAAGGAACAAACATTTTTACTAATATTTTCCGTGGTAATATTTTTTGTTTTATTTTGCAAATACTACATGTACAGCCCAATTGTCAGCTTGGAGCATGGGACCCATCACAAGAACAATAGATAATTTTGTTACGGCTTCTGCCGAAGGGGACAGCTGCTTGCCTGTGCGGCCTCACCCCTTCAGGCCTTTCCTCCCTTGGGAATGGGCCTTTACATGTAATATAAGAAAAATGGACTGAGCTAGTGTTTGGTTTGTGGCTGTACATGTACTCATTATAGTGCAATTCCTATCTGACAGTACTCTCACTGAAATGTTGTGTTCAGTCCTATAACAAGTCCTTATTAATGAAGGATGAATGCATGTGTGCACATGTATGTTAGATTTCTTGGTAACTTGTGAAATACCCTTTTTGTTATTTGCTTTCAGTAAGCAGAGCTACTGAACTAGGCCCTGGTCCTAACAACTGCCTTTGGTGATTGATGCGTTAGAAGCCAAATGGTCAAAGTTTAATCCTAAGTCTGAGTATTGGGAGTTACGGTATAAATGAAGCATACATCTGTTGAAAGAAAGATCAAGGGTCTGTTTGTTTTGCACTGATCCAGATCACGATCATGATCAGTGGTCTGTCGTTGGTTCACTGACACCACAATCTACCTGATGGATGAAGCAAACCAGCATTGGGATCACTGATCAAGATCTGAATCAGTGTGAAACAGGCCCCAAGAACAAATACAAGTCATGTGACAAGTAAGAAGAGAAAGCATAGTGAAAGACTTGCTTGATAACATTTGGGTCCAGTTTCATGGAGTTCCTAAGCAGGAAATAGCACTTGCTAAGCAAATTAATATGTCATACATCAGCTGATAACCAGCCAACATAGTGTACATTTAATTTCATTTGGTAGCTTTCATAGCAAATTTTATTGTGCTTAGCAGCTCCAAAGACACTGCCCCAGTTCAGAACTTACTGTTTAATGTACATTTGTTTCTGAAAGCAGAAGTGTTGATTGCCCCTCCCAATATCATTCATCACCATCCATTGCCATGGTTGCAGGGTATCTTCTGTCTACTTTATTCATAATTTATTCCAACTTACATGCTACAGTGTACATGCACTTTAACTCGCGTTTGAATCATCACCTACTGTACAGATCATTAATTTTGGACCCCTAGTCTGAATGACTTCTTGCCCCTGAGAAGTTTATCCCGTACATACACTTAGTATGCATGCATCAGAGTTGTTCATTATGCTTATTCATAACTTGCTCATTTATTCCTTCATCATTTGGGGAGGGGTCGAGTTGGATTGCTTGTCAGCTTCTGGGTCGTTGTCAGAACATTGTTCAACCTCCTTGGCCTCAATCCTTCATCATTCAGACTGAGTCACGTTGGCTGTCTGTGACCTGTTCACAGCTGCTTCCTTATTAGGGAAATCTTACTTGATATCAGATGAGCCAAATGGAGGCACCTACTGCAAGTAACTACATGTGATTTAGATTTAGACATTTAGTACTTACTCCTCCTCATTCTCTGAGCTCCATGCCGTTGATTAGCCCAGTCCCTTATCTTCCTTCCTCCTGTCATTTTCACTTTGTCCTCAGAGTTGGGAAGCATCTCCTCCTTTCTTGGCTGTGTTTCTTTATCACTGTCACTCTGTCACTTCACAGTGGGACAGCTTAACTTGATTGCCCTAACCTTTGTAGTGACTTTCTATTAAGGTTGAAACACCTTAGAGAAGGCAACAATGAGTCAGGTGGTACCTGATGATACCCCCACCTACTGAGTGGATAATACAAAGACCAGTGTGATGTTGTATCTGATTGCTTGGCTGCGGCTGACAGTAATGTATGTGTCTATGAGAAATGGATTTAACTGGCAGTTTGCATAGGTGCATGTACTATTGTCAACTGCTGCCAAGCTATTTGGATGTGGCTGACCATGCTGATCTTTGGGGGACCTTTAACCACAGGTGTTCCTTTGTCATGTCTTGTGGAACTATTATTTGACACTATTATGAGGTATATAGACATTCTATATAAGCCTTGTGCATGAACACAAAAAGGGAACTATGCAATAAATGGATGTGACATGTATGCGCAGTGCACACATGTATGGCGTGAAATACATGCAAGTCATTTTGTGAACTTCTGGGGTTGTTACATGTGTAAACAGACATGGTGTGAGAGCTAAATCAGTGCAAAGCCGACACACAAATTTATCTTAATAAAATAATTTATTACCTATTTACAGTCCCGAGGTTCACCCTCTCATAGTTTTGTACAGTTCCTCAAATGAGGATATTCATAAAAAAATGACGTCAGAGAATTGTTTTAAGGTGTAATTAAAAGAACTACATGAGACGCCAATAACACCAAACATTATGCTTTGGAGGTACAATCACAAGACAATAGAACTACAGTAGTAAATCAAGTCAATTAGCTTCAACAGCGAAATATTCCACGGTTACAACACATGTAATTACCGGTAAGTGCACCAAAATTACTTCAAAAGCCACTAAGGCTACATGTACTTCCAAGTTCAGGAGAAAATATTCACCCGACACTAGGGGTAAACAATGCCACACAGGCTAAATGGTGCCACACAGGCTATAGAGCCACACAGGCTAAATAG